CTTACCTCTCTTTTTCTCTTGGCAGCTACTTATACTCTTTGAGCATTTGGAATTTGGGTCTTTGTTTCTTTTCTAGCTTCAAGCCATCAAAGAGAATGAAGCAGATTTCCCTAATCCTCCTTCCTTATCCCATCAAGAGAGAAAAACAGACTCCTTCCATCAGAAGACCTTTATTGAAAATCCTCAGGGGTGACAAACAGGAGACAAATGTTGGGAAATTTAAAACATCCTGAATTTTATCAGACCACATAGCTGTGGTTTCAAGTCTGTTTCCCCTCCAAAGAGATGGAAGAAATTTCATGTTTTAACCTTTAATACTCATTCTTAAAACTAGATATCCCCCAACTTTTCTTTCTTCATATACCCTCCCACTTGTTGCTCCAACTTTGGTAAGTGCCCCAAGATCTCTGGATGTCATAGTGTTGTTTTTGTTCAAACTCTTTTAGTAGTAAAACATATAAGGTAAACTCAACGCACTTAGGAAACTAATTCTCTTAATCAGAAATATTGGAGAAACCAGAACTATTAGGAAGAAGTAACTTCTTTCACAAATCACCCTTTCCTGGCAGCTTGCAGCTAGCACTTCTCTGTCATTCTGAGCAGAAGAGCTTCCTTGGACAAGCCCTAATTTCCTCCACAAATCCTAATAGGTTCAAGTTTTTTAGATTTAGCTTCTACTTTAAAATTCAAATACCCCAAAGGTTTAAACTGACAGTTACTTATTATGATCATGCTGTGAACTAACTCCCTCTTTCCCCACCCTCCTTTTCTTCTTCCATTTTTCCTAGTCACAGCATTTTGGGAGGGTACACACTTGTTTGGGCCCCAGAGGAACAAGTTGAACAGGAAAGAAATATTTCTAACTCCACGGACAATTTTTTTTTAAATGCATAATTAAGTAACTAAAATATTTTCACGCAATTATAACTAATTGAAAATGTTAAATAAGAGAATGGCATAGAGACTAACCCTAAACTAACAAATGCAAAAAATAGTGTCTTCATCAGAAAATGTTTTAGAGCTAAGGGCACATCTAAGGAAGAGAGACCCAGGACCAGTTATAAAATGCAGGGCTCTGATAAGGTAAATAATTGTGGAGGAAAGGCTCACAGGAAAGGAAAGTACTGGTAGGAGAGTGGCAAAGGACATGGAGGATGTGGAGGGAGTCTCATTTGGTTATACTTGGTTTATAATATTGCATTGATTCCTAGTGACAATCTTTTCATTCCCTGTCTTTGCAAGTAAGCACAAAGACCAAAATGATTAACTACTCAGTCTCGACATTTTGAGAAAGTCAGACTGTGTTCCATGAACTTGATTTTTCATACTCACCCTCAAATAGTCAAGTATCCTTTAAAAATTATTTTTAAAATTTAAAAAAAAATAGAGTATTTAACATTTACCCACACATGAATAGTTGGGGGCAGTCCACTCCTTCATGTTTCATTTTTCTTGCACGTTTCCATCTGGTATCATTTTCCTCCTGGCTGAAAGATTTTCTTCCAGTGTGTTGGTGATGAGTTTTTTAAGCTCTTCACATCTGAAAAAGTCCTTATTTCCCCTTTAATTTTCTTTAAAACTAGGTGTAGAATTCCAAGTTGCCCGTTTTTTTTTTTCCCAAAGTAATTTAAAGATGTTGCTTCACTCTTTCCTGCTTTGTATTGCTTCTGATGAGAAGATATCTGCCACCTTCTCTATCTTTGTTTCTAAAATATGACACCCATAAGATGACATCATATGTTATGATATAATGTTTTAGTCAGGTTTTTTTTTTTTTTTTTTAAAAAATCTGACCAGAACAATTTCAGGAAGAAAAAGTTTATTTAAGAGCTCATGGTTTCAGAGGTTTTAGTCCATAGAAGGCTGCTCCATTCCTTGGGGGCTCCAGGTGAGAAAAAACATCATGGCAGAAGAGTGGGGCAGAAGAAAGCAGTTCACATGACCATCAGAAAGCAGAGAGAGACTCCATCAGCTAGTTACAAATATATGTCCCCAAGACAGGACCCAGTTCCCACCCCCTCCAGTCACACCTTACCACTTCAGTTACCACTCAGCTAATCCCTATCACTGATTGGGTTAAGACTCTTACAACCCAATCATTTCTCCTCTGAACCTTCTTGCATTGTCTTACATGTGAACTTTTAGGGGGCACTAGATCTAAACCATAATATAACATATCATCTTTCTTTAAGATTTTCTCTTTGACCCCAGATGTGTGTGATTTTATAATATGATTTGTTATAGTTTCCTCTAATATCTCCTGTCCCTAGTGTTTGTTAATCTTCTTGGATCTGTGCCTTTGGAGTCTTTATCACGTTTGAAAATGTCTTGGCCATTATTTCTTCAAATACTTTTCTGTCAATCCCTCTTTTGTGAGAGTTACCATTACACAGATATTTTATATTATAAATTTCCCCATAGACCATGCATACTTTATGCTCTTCTCCTGTGTGTTTTATTCTGGATAGTTTCTATTATTATATCTTTAAGGTGATTGATCTTTTTGTCTGCAGTATCTAATTAATTGTTAGTGTTTCTACTTTACTTTTCATATCAGACATTTTAGTTTCTACTTATAAAACAATAATTTGGATCTTTTTACATCTTATTTATATCTACTTAATATCTTTAATCTTTCATTAACCTACTAAAACATGTGAGATAAGTTAAATGACTTTTAATTTACTTGCCTGCTAATACTATAATCTGCATTATTTATGGGCTCATTTCTGTTGATTTATATTCTTATTATGGGTTGTCTTTTTCTACATCTGATAATTTTTTACTGGATGCCAGACAAAATGACTTTTACCTCATTTGGTGCTCGATATTTTTAAATTCTTTTAAATATTCCTAAGCTTTGTTCTAGGATGCAGTTGTCTGAAGATAGTTGGATATTTAATGAATCATTCCTAAGGTTTGTCAGGTAGGACTAGATCTTTAGTTTAGGGCTACACTTTCCCTGTTATTGATACAATTTCCTTTAGAGTACTCTGTCTGGTGCCACATTAAGTATGTAAATTTTCACTCCAACTGGTATGAGCACAAATTTTTCCCCATGTGAGAGTCAGACTTAGATCCAAAGATGTTCCCTCCAATCCTTCTGAACAATTCTTTCTCTATCTTCAAGTAGTTTACTCACATGCATGCTTTGGTTTGTATTTAGTTTAATACCAAGGGGAGGACCTTCTCTAAGTTTCTAATTTTTTTCTCTTTTTCTGTGCAGCTTTCCTTTCCAGTTCTTTTCCCACTAACTCCAGATGCTCTGGATTCCCCAAATTTTGGGCTCCAAGTCCCCAACTCATAGAGACCATTGAGCTCTGCCTGGGGCCCTCTTCTCTTAGCTGTGGTCTGGTAACCTCTCCAGACAGTAAACAGGGTTGGATGTAGGCCTCATCTCATTTAGTTTCCCTCTTTCAGGTGTCACCATCTTTTGCTGACTGATGTTCAATACCCGAACATTGTTGTTTTATATATTGTGCCTGGGTTTTAAATAGTTTAGGTAGGAGGACAACTCTGGCATGTTTGGCCAGAAATGAAAATAAGCCCTTATACTTTATACTGGAAGTCACAAGCATGCTGTGTATTTTTGCTATACACAACTTAATCAGAGATTTGTTTAAAATCCTAAGGTTGCTACCTAAAGGTTTCCCAGAAAACAATGACTCATGTTACCTATCCTTTTAGGGACATTGAATATAAAACCTCCAGGTAGACAGTGGCAGCAGAAAGATGAACAGACACAAACAATGAGATAACTCAAATCCAAGATGCCCACAGAAAGAAAGTGGCAGTCAGAAACCAGGTGTCAGTTGATGTAATCGGTAAGAATGAATCATGGAGCAGAGAAGAGAGGAAAGGAGAGGTGGTATAGGTAGCTGAGTAAAACAGAGAAGCAAGAATTGAGAGAAGGATCATGGGGAAAGTGAACTAGAGATTCGGTTGTGTTCCAAATGATTTTCCCGTTTTCCATGGAACTCATGCTTGAAAGAGTTCCTGACACTCTCTAACTTCTTCCAGAGTCTTTCTAGTAGCTCTCATCATTTGAAGACCTGACCACACTGTTTCCAAAAGAGCTGGAGACCCACATGTTGCAATTTTGACTATGGCAGTTGGTTGAAACATGAGGCTGGGTGCCAGGCATGAGTACATACTATTAAACTGTAATTCAACCATACAGTAGGTCCTTGTAATAGGAGACATGAGTATATGCCTATTTTATTAAGTAGTTATTATCACATCTTTATTACCGACAAGAGAGTTAATTATATAAAGAAAGAAAGAAAGGACAGAAGAAAACACTGTCTTGTAACAAATTATAGGAAGTGATATGATAGTTCAAGAGCATTCATTCTTTAGGTGACAGCTCAGATGTCCCTCTCAGAGATTTTTTGCCTGGTCCCTCCCCTCAGTCAAACATCCTGCTATAAACTCTTGTAATACTCTGTATTTTACCTTCATGCATGCACCTCAGTTTATAATTATATAGTTCATGAATGCATAATTAATACATTTTTTTCTCTACCTAGATTGTAAGAAGAATATAATAATAATAAATATAATAAATTTTAATGAATAGATGCTGAAAACATGGGAAAACAGAGTTCATGTGACTATAACTTCTTCTATCTACTTTGAACTGGCGACATAATATGGCATTTCTCAGGTTCCCTTACACAGAGATGTGGCCATGTATAGTGATGTGAGAATGAGGTGGGTCATTTCCAGACCTGGCCTATTAAGATCTCCCATATGTAATCTCCCAGGAATTTTTCCCTTTTTAGTGTTTAGGTAATGACCCCTCATTTGCCCCACAACAACACATTACTTTCTTTCCCTTCCTCCAGGTTCAGGCACTACCAGGATAGTAAGTTATAATTCTCTAATGTATAAGGCTTTGAACATTGAGGGACAGATTGCAGGAGAATGGATCTGGTTATTTCCTGAGATTTCTTACTGCTCTCTCTATAATGCTATTTCTATTTCCCACAGGTACTTACAAGAAAATGATTGACCCTTGTTTACCAAGGCATACATTGTCATAGTGTCTAAGAAACATGATATTGGCATTCTGGAATAATTGAGAATTCTATCATCCTATTGGACAAAGTTCCAAACTACATGACAACAGAGCCCCTGTGAAGCTGATTGCATAAAACTAAAATATGAAAGAAAAAAAAAACACTCATGCAGAGCTCCCAAATATGTTTTCAAAGCCAGCCTTGATAAAAATTCCTCTGGTTAAAGAGTTCAAGAGCCCACCTATCAAGTAGAAAAGATACATTCACTCTACCTGTACCAAATGGTACCTTCATCTGTTTGATGAAACCAGGAGTAAAGCAATAGACCAAGTTCTGCTTTTGGAAAAAGAAGACAGATTCAATCATTGCATATTCTTAATATGCAAATCATTAACTGGTATGTATGTTGTTTAAAAAAATACACAATGGCACAAACAGCCTATGAAGTCAAAACTTGTGTCTGAACTTCATTTATTAAATTAGTTAAATAATTAGTATATTTAGTTTTTCAGACCACAAAATATTTCATTGGAGAAAATAATGACCTTGTTTTTTTTTAAATCATTGTTTTCAATAGACAGTCATGAAATATCTCTGTGAGCTAGTACTATATATTACTGACCTCATAGGTAAAGAGGACATGGCTCCTGTCCTCATGTAGTTCATAGTTCAGCTGCAGATATCAATTACAAATCCTACAGAGATAATATCAAAGATATTGAAGACAAGTGGGAAAAGCTTAAGAATGTAGTAATTTTTATAATGATCCATTTTATTATTTTAAAATTTTATCCTGAAAATTTAATTGGTCTTAATCTCATGAGGGTGTCATTATGATTTAGAAAATCATTATGTTTTGAAATCAGACTAATTGTCACCTCAAATTCAGTTACTGATGTGAAAGAACAGGAAGAAAGTTTAGTGAAATAGTAGGGGAAACTCCTGTCAACACTATCTTGCAGGCCATTTAGTAGCAAATGGCAAAACAACTAAAAAAAATGATGTCCTTGTAATAATAATTGAGTAGTGCATTTGGAGGAAAACTCATATTGAGATGATTTTCAAAATTAAAATCTAACATTTTTGTGAGACTTGATATCTCAAAAAAGAAGAAGCCTGTCAGCCTAAACAGCCAATTTTGCTTTTCTATTTCCTTATTTTCCATTTTCTAGACTTCTTTTGTACTTATTGCCTCATTTAACTTGTAAGAAAAGATAAGGGCACACAATCAAAAAACCCTGCCATCCAAAATAACTCACAATTTTTACAGCTAGAGCACTTTCTAATCTCAGCAGGAATAAAATATCTGTAGCTGGACCATTAAGGGAGATGAATGATTTGCTTAACATATTTTAATGGATTACTGGTTGGCAACCCCTCATCTGATGCTTTCTAAACAGGATGCGTTCTAAACTGGAAGACTCAGAGAATAGCAGCCCCAGGCCATGGCAAAATCAAGTTGGCACTGAGTCCTTTTGATCTGCAGTCTTTTGATACAGTTTGAAAAGTTACCGTGGCAACAGATTATGTCACCTGAAGTTGAAGAACATTGAAGATGTCAGAGGAAATGAGTAATCTTTACCTGGAGAAGTAAGACAAGTAGCCTACGCCTCTTACCAGAAAGTGACAATGATGGCTACATCATTCATTATTCTTCTCTTTTATTAAAAGAACATATATGGTTATGGCATTTGCTATTAATGAGCATGTTTAAGACAAACCATAAGAATCAGGTTTAAGGTATTCCTATGATCTCTTGCAAAGTATACATTAAGCTCAAATTTAGACATTCTTTTTATTTAAAACCAAAGAGAAAAATTGGCAACATTAATCTTTGTTTTTGGAACCTAATGATTTACATTTGAACAAGGAGTTTGACTTCCGATACATACGCTACAATTTGATGCACTGGATAACATTTTAAGACGTGGTAATAATGATGCAAACATTCTTTCATTGGAAAGATAAAGTGAATTAAGATAATTTTTATAAAATTGTAATCAATGATTTTCATTAAAGTGCGTGTACGATAACAAAAATGTATTTAAAATACTGTAATGACAGTGTTGAATAAAGTTGTTTAAGGTGATGTATACATACATACACATACATTTATATTTATAAACTTACAGACATACAAGAGAAAATTGTTTCTAAAAGTACAGTTGCCTTTATTTTTGTAAACATATTTTCTTTAGTTCATAGGCTCAAACCAAGGTTGTATAGTTTTTTAACTACCCAATTTTGTAAATAATTCCACCTCAGGTTATTTAGTTTTGAAATGTCTTACTTATAGGCAGATTTCAAAAAGGAAAAAAATAAATTCAGCTTTTTTTAAAAGTTAGAATGGAGAGCACAGGGTATTTTTGAAGGCCACTAAGCAATTATTTCACTGGCACCTTAAAACAAACAAATGAAAAACACCAAAACCCAAATGACAAACAAAACATCTTCAGTACCTATGGTCACTGAATGTGATTGCATATTTTGTCATGCCAGACCTCCATTTCAGGAAGGCGAACTTAAAATCTGTATGTAATTTCTATAAAATGAGGTCCCGACTTGTCTTGGTTTCCTGATGCATGATTTTTTGGTACCTTGCACTACATCAGCTTTGTCCCTATAGACAGGAGAACACCTGTTGATAAATACCCTTCTAGATCTTGATGTAGGGCAAGTAGTCAAAACAGAGAGGAGGTAATATTACCCTGGATAAAAGATTTTTAAAGCTGTTAGCCTTGGGGTACTGTATGAATAATGACCATTATGTTTTGTTTTATTTTGTTTTTCTGCATCAAACCATTTTTCTCTATCCCAATTGTGAATCCTCCATGTCTAAGACTGGATTAAGTGTCTTTCCTCTGTGCTTTCATAGTACCTTGTACAAGTCCCCTGTGGTCTTAGTCAGTTATCTGATAAGCTGCCCTTCTGTGTGCTTGGTGCTTAGCACAACCCAATGATCAACATGTTGGACCCTGTGTTTTATCATTTCCAACATGTGCATTTTTACATCACCAATACATATATCCTAGAGTTAATGTTGACTTTTGGAGGACCACAATCATTCCTGAAACAACAACAACAACAAAAAAAGTTGTTTATGCAGAGCAGTGGAGTGTCATTTGATTTTATTGAAGCATTTATTAATCATTTCAAGAATACTCACAATTCTTTCCTGCAAAGCAATCACCAGCTGCCTTGTGTCCTTGCTCCTTCAAAGTGTGACCCACAAACCAGCAGCACCATGGTGGCTTGGGAGCTTGTTAGAATTACAGAATCTCAGGCCCCACTCCAGACATTGGGAATCACACTCTGTTTTTTAAAAAAAATCCCAACTTCACATGTCTATTAACATTTGAAAAGCACTGCTTGATACAGAAAGAAAGATATAAGAAAGGAAAATATAACTAGATGGATCTGAGTCCTATTTTCGTAACAGTGATTTGTGGAGGAGGATCTTTCACATGCTGAGAGCTGTAGCTCAAGACAGGAAAACCACCACATGTGCCAATAGGAGAAAATTTAGAAATGAGCACAGGCTGGTGTTAGCCATTCATATGTGGCACGTGCCTTTTGCTAAGGCATTGTCTCACTGTTTAGTTTGCAGCCTGTTTTCTCCAGTGATATTTAAATCAATGTTGTATCTTCTGAACCTTGGCATCATGCATTCAATAATTCATCGTGTTCCTTCCCTGCCTGCAAGAAGACCTCTCTAAGGCAGGGGTAGGGTTTTGAATCCAGCTGCCCCCAGCACCCAGCCAGCAGTATCTATGAGCTAGTGGGCACATCATACTATTTTCAGAAGGGAGAAAATAATTAACTTTTCTTTTTTGTACATTAAGTATATGGAGTTGTTTGTATTAAATGTGTACTGAAAGATGTTTTGAAATATATATTATATATACATACATAGAGGAATAAATAAATATAGCTAGTTACCGTATGTATTACCTCACATAGTTATCATTTTGTAGTGAGAATACTTTCAATAGGCTCTCATGAGTTTTCAAGAATACAATACTCTGTTAATTAGAATCACCACAGTGAACACTTTTAAAACTTTGTTTCCTTTGAAAAAATGTAGCCAATATTCCTGAGCAGTATTGACCCAAATTATTTAATCCTATGAACCTGGTAGGTGTGATAACTTGCAATTTTCTGTTGTAAACTAGGACCAAGAGAAACAGTAAATAAAATATTATTTATACATGTTTTGCATATGATTTATGCAGAGCCTGGGACAGGGAGTCCAGAACCCAAGTTTCACTCCTAGGCTCATGAGCCTCGGGCAGTTCTCTACCTGTCTGCACTTTCACCTCCTTGTTGTTCTAATGAATTGGGCCTAGGGCCTCTGCAAGGTGAGCCCTGTCTGCTTCCCAGGCCCAGCCCACAGGATGAGGGCTGTGTCCCACCTCCCGAAACCCTCACTGTCCATCTGTGTCCTTTATTTGCTTTCTTATTTATAAACTTGCAGATAAAAAAGAAAACATTAAGTGTTAGGGTCAAATGTTTGTCCATACAGAGTGTTCATTGACACACCTTGCAAGGCTTATGGTTGACATTGACTACATAATTTAAATGAATAAAATTAAGAAGTTAAACAGAACATTTGAACCATGTTTTGTTCTGTTTTTAATAGTTTTTTTTTTCCTCCAGGGCGGGGTGGGTGGGGATTGAACTCAGAGGTGCTTGAACACTGAGCCACATTTCCAGCCTTGTATTAGACTCTTACAGAGTCTTTTAAAATATAAAATATAATATAACACTGCTTAGCATCTCAATTTTGCTAAGGCTGGCTTTGAACTCATCATTCTCCTGTTTAGCCTCCCAAGCAGCTGTGATTACAGGCATGTGCCACTGCTCTGGCTGTTTCTAATAGTTCTTAGCCAACTATTTAGAATTAAGAATATTCTGCTCTTGAGATTAAACCCTTTTTTGGATCATTGAGCAAAATATTCTCTCTCTCTTCTTCCCCCACACCTCTCTCTCAACAGATTGTGGAAAAAATGGCAGCTCCATACATGTTCCAAAGCTTAAAAAGACCATTTATGGTTATAAAGGTGGAGTGTAGCTAGGAAGAGGACATGTGAAAAAATATCAGGGTTTACTTTATGTTTCAAGCAAATGAACAAGACAAAGTTCCATAAAAGAAAATTAGTCATACAAGTATTGGTAGATTTAAAGTCTCAAGTCTACCTAGTACTTAATAGTACTTTTACCTAGTACTATTATCACTTAATAGTACTGAGCACTTAGTAGTATTTAAATTGATGACTAAGTTTTCATGTTTGTGAATCACATATTTTCAGTAAATTGGTTAAGCTAGAATTGGAAAGAAAGGGACTAAATACAAACACAACTAAAATGAAAATAGAGTCTTTAACTCCAGATTTGACTTTCCTACTATACTCCCATAACTGACTTGATTAGAGTCACAGGTCTTGATTTATTATCTTTCAGAGGTGATTATCATGTGTGTTCAGAGAACTTATGTTAAGTCTAAACTTAGGGGTTATTTGAAATTAAGTTAAAAACCTCACCTTGGTTGATTTGTATACCTATTTTCTTGGAAATTGGTTAAAGTGCTGCTTTGTAATTACTTACTATTCAAAATTTAGAATGATCTACTTCCAGAAAAATGTAAATCAACATGCATTTCTGCATTTTCAAAAGGATAAGATTTTTGGACTATGTAAATATCCTTAAACCCCTTAAGGACTATCCAATAATCAGATAATTTTTTTTCTTTTCCTGTTCATCAAAATTTTTTTCCTCATCTTTCTCTTTAAACTTTTATTGCTTATTACATCACTCCTTTTCCTTTACTGAGCTTGTATTTCTTTGACAACTAGTTTATTTAAATTTTTGCTTCCTAGATGTGAAAAGGTGGATCATTACTAGATTAAGTTTCTTTCCTCAAAAAGTATCTTTTGAAGTAAATTTCTTTCTCAGAAACAAACTTGGTTAATAATTCTAAGAAAGATATGAAGAGATATTAGAAGGCCAGAGTAGAGAATCTTAAAGATCAGATGGTCTAGAGGCTGTAACTGGTGACCCTCAGACCCACACATTTTTTTGTTTTTTAATAGCTTTGTTGAAATGTAATATTTACCCATAACTCAAAATTCACTTTACTCTTTTTTCTCTTCCTTCCTTCCTTCCTTCCTTCCTTCCTTCCTTCCTTCCTTCCTTCCTTCCTTCCTTCCTTTCCTTCCTTCCTTCCTTCCTTCCTTCCTT